TGGGCTGCTGCTTCTCCTCGTATTAGATCGTGAGGGGCCACGGCGAACTCAGGCGGCCGCCACTATTTAATTCCGTTTGGTCTTTTCTTCTTTTTTTTTTGTTTGATTTCCCTCCCCTATTATTATTATTATTATTACTATTATTACTACTATTATTACTATTGTTGTTACGGTTATTGTTGTTACTGTTGCTGCCGCGGTGGTGCTTGCGCGGTTGGGGGCGCTGCGGCTGCGGAAGGCGCCGCTGCCGCCTGCGTGTGTGTGTGTGTGTGTGTGTGCCTCCGCACGCCCTCCATTTCTCCTCTCCCCCCGCTGCCCTGCGGCGCGGGTGCGCCTGAGCCAACAGAAGTTGAAAGTTTCAAGCATCGGCGAGAAAAGCAAAAGGCAGGCAAACCAAACAGCGGGAGCAAAATGACCTTCGAAGGCGCCATCGGCATCGACCTCGGCACGACGTACTCGTGCGTCGGTGTGTGGCAGAACGAGCGCGTGGAGATCATTGCGAACGATCAGGGCAACCGCACGACGCCGTCGTACGTGGCGTTCACCGACACGGAGCGCCTGATCGGCGATGCCGCGAAGAACCAGGTTGCGATGAACCCGACGAACACCGTCTTCGACGCGAAGCGCCTCATTGGGCGGAAGTTCAGCGACTCCGTTGTGCAGTCGGACATGAAGCACTGGCCCTTCAAGGTCATCGCGAAGGGCGACGACAAGCCGGTGATCCAGGTGCAGTTCCGCGGCGAGACGAAGACGTTCAACCCGGAGGAGGTGAGCTCGATGGTGCTGCTGAAGATGAAGGAGGTTGCGGAGTCGTACCTGGGGAAGCAGGTGAAGAAGGCCGTGGTGACGGTGCCGGCGTACTTCAACGACTCGCAGCGGCAGGCGACGAAGGACGCCGGCACGATTGCGGGGATGGAGGTGCTGCGGATCATCAACGAGCCGACGGCCGCCGCCATTGCGTACGGGCTGGACAAGGTGGAGGAGGGCAAGGAGCGCCACGTGCTCATCTTCGACCTCGGCGGCGGCACGTTCGACGTCACCCTGCTGACGATCGACGGCGGCATCTTCGAGGTGAAGGCGACGAACGGCGACACGCACCTGGGCGGCGAGGACTTCGACAACCGCCTCGTCTCGCACTTCACGGACGAGTTCAAGCGGAAGAACAGGGGCAAGGACATGACGACGAGCCAGCGCGCGCTGCGCCGCCTCCGCACCGCCTGCGAGCGCGCCAAGCGCACGCTGTCGTCCGCGGCGCAGGCGACGATCGAGATCGACGCGTTGTTCGACAACGTGGACTTCCAGACGACCATCACCCGTGCCCGCTTCGAGGAGCTCTGCGGCGACCTCTTCCGTGGCACGCTGCAGCCGGTGGAGCGTGTGCTGCAGGACGCCAAGATGGACAAGCGCGCCGTGCACGATGTGGTGCTCGTCGGCGGCTCCACCCGCATCCCGAAGGTGATGCAGCTGGTGTCCGACTTCTTTGGCGGCAAGGAGCTGAACAAGAGCATCAACCCCGACGAGGCTGTGGCGTACGGCGCCGCCGTGCAGGCCTTCATCCTCACCGGCGGCAAGAGCAAGCAGACGGAGGGCCTGCTGCTGCTTGACGTGACGCCGCTGACGCTGGGCATCGAGACTGCCGGCGGCGTGATGACGTCGCTGATTAAGCGCAACACGACGATCCCCACCAAGAAGAGCCAGATCTTCTCGACCTACGCGGACAACCAGCCGGGCGTGCACATCCAGGTCTTCGAGGGCGAGCGTGCGATGACGAAGGACTGCCACCTGCTCGGCACATTCGACCTGTCCGGCATCCCGCCGGCGCCGCGCGGCGTGCCGCAGATTGAGGTGACCTTTGACCTCGACGCCAACGGCATCCTGAACGTCTCCGCGGAGGAGAAGGGCACTGGCAAGCGCAACCAGATCGTCATCACGAACGACAAGGGCCGTCTGAGCAAGGACGACATCGAGCGCATGGTGTCGGAGGCGGCCAGGTACGAGGCGCAGGACAAGGAGCAGCGGGAGCGCATCGATGCAAAGAACGGCCTGGAGAACTACGCCTTTTCGATGAAGAACACCGTGAACGAGCCGAACGTGGCCGGCAAGATTGACGAGGCCGACAAGAACACAATCACGAGTGCCGTGGAGGAGGCTCTGCAATGGCTGAACAACAACCATGAGGCCAGCAAGGAGGAGTACGAGCACCGCCAGAAGGAGCTGGAGAACGTGTGCACGCCCATCATGACGAAGATGTACCAGGGCATGGGCGCGGGTGGCGGCATGCCCGGCGGTATGCCTGGAGGAATGCCCGGCGGTATGCCCGGAGGTATGCCCGGAGGAATGCCCGGCGGCGCGCCCCCGTCGTCGTCGTCGGGGCCAAAGGTGGAGGAGGTTGACTGAGCGCGTGGCCCCCCAAGAAACTTCGCACGGCGGCACCTCTCCTTGGGCGAGTGGGCTGCTGCTTCTCCTCGTATTAGATCGTGAGGGGCCACGGCGAACTCAGGCGGCCGCCACTATTTAATCCGTTGGCTTTTCTTCTTTTTTTTTTTTGTGATTCCCCTCCCCTA